CTTCACCTGCCAAGGATTGACAGATCAGTGCGACCTCCTTCCTTAGTCGAAAAAAATTTTGTTAACCGAAAACCAAAGGTAGATAATGCCAGTCTATATCGACAAATTTCTGGTATAATTAAAGGTGCCAGGGCATTTATATGGTAATCGAAATTGACACCATGCCTTGTAGGATTCTATGCGCGGGATCTCTGCTGTTGCTTTAAACGTTTTCAGCGAAGTCCTACGCACCTTCCTTTCCGAGATTCTGAGATAGACCATAAATAGTATGGAGGAAACAGTTTGCACAAGCAGACCCGCTGATTTTCGAAGCGCTGCTATTGCCAGAAACAAAACCGCAGTTCGTTTATGCAGCGATCTTAATGTCACTCACGCAGTTTGGATTATATTGATCACGTAGCAATTGCTTAAAAAGTTGAAAAGATTGATTTGTGTAGTTAAGTCCGTTCTCTCTTATGATATCCATAGTGTTTTTTTATTTCTGCTGTTATACCACTTCGCAAAGATCCGTGATGTCCCTGGGAAAATTTAGTCTAATTAAGCTAAACTGTATATTTCCTGTAACCCTCTAACGTGTTTTAAATAACAGTCCTCCTGTTTGTCGAAGTATTTACGTATACTATGGGCATTTTTTCAGTCAGGCTTGTTTTTCCGTTACTTAACTTATTATTATTTTTCACCAAAGACTGAATCCTGAAACGGAACTTCTTCACATGAGTACGACAAAGCTTAAGAAGGGAAGATTTAGCCTTGGAGCCGCTGTTATTTTGTTGTTTAACAAATGCGGCTTCATGTGGTTCCAAGAAACCGTTGTGGACGGGGAAACGTATTACGAGTGCAACAATCTTACTCTGATCAATTTGGCATTGAAATATTTTGGTCCCATGCCTGAAAAGCGGCTGGTGATGCTTCTTTTGTTGTTTCAAGTAGGTTTGCTTTATTGTGTTGTACTAAAAGTTTGAATAATATTTTGTTTTTAGTTTTGCTGCAGTCTTGTGGCTTTCGTTATACGGTACTTCTTGGCAATTTTGTTATATGACCGAGTTGAGTGATACTCAGATATGGTTTCCGAATTGATTCGCATAGGTTGTTTTGTGGTTTTTTGTTAGCTGTGCGACTTGGTGGCTTGTTTTTACCACACTTGACCCTGAGTTAAGTTTGAATTATGCCAAGTTGCATGTGATAAGTTTTTAGTTCTAAATTAAATATTTGGAAATTTTTGGTATCGACTAATCTAGAGTCCTTCGCTGCAGGCCAGTTGCACGCAATATCAAAAGATATTGAGACGGTACCCCGCAGGCGACCAGGGTTTCAATGAAAAATCACTGTCACAAGGCGAGGAAGGATGGGAAAAAAGTGAAAGCTTACAACGATCGGATTGTCGGTCTTCTTTGACCTCATGATGAACCTATTTGTACTGCCCTTCCTGGCTGGGCCCAGATCCGTATTTACATGCCAACAGCAGCTACGTGGTAAGCATGGTGTGTAGTCTCATGTTTCTTTCCTACGGAATGGTACTTGTTTATCAGCCTCTGACGAGTCATCCCACCTGCACTCATACACGGGCCCTCTCAGTTCAGAGTTCGATGCTATACCGATTAAGCGACCTCGGTCCATTAATTGCTTACCAGCTATGGCATTCTTCAGCTGTGACCGTCGTAGTAATATTTAAAGCACTGCAACGAGAAACGTTGCAAT